TTGGGGAAACACTTAGGACACTTACTAACTGCTCTAAGTGCACATAGCCAAGTGTGCTAAGTGTTTTCGTATGTGTTGTATATGGTTAGTATGTATGCTAAGTGTTTACTAACCACGGTGGACCTTTAAGTAAGTTTGGTCTATTGCACTGGGAATGAGGGTGTTCATACGATTTGGGGTGTAAGCCCCGAAGCAGTGCGGTCTGCGGTCCAGTTGCCCAAGTTGTGGCCGTTGAAGGCCGCCGAAGGCCCCTCGTGTCCTTCGCCGGAGGTTCACCCAAAGTCTGGTGCAGTCTCAAAAGCGCGAGAAACATGTTTAGATCTTGCTAGATCATGATCATGAAGTCGACGTGTTCGAATTCTTCGAATTTGGCTCTTGGGAATGTCTTGATGCAAATCCCAAACCAACTCTTTGTTCACCTCTACCTCTCTTGGTACCAAGACTCCATCCCAACCGTGTTCAGGCCGTGCTGAGACGGGGCAGTTTCCACCTCGAGAAGGTCGAAAGCATGGCCATGGTCGGCTGAGCGCGTTCGTCTTCCCACCCGGGCGAGAGGACATAGCAGAGCGAGACGTGGAGTTGAGCGAGGAAGTCGTGTCGGACGTGGAGCGAGATGGGAATCGGAAGTACGAGTAGAGTAGACGAAGTCTAATCAAAAGGGAACTATAGAAATGATGTGTGTGATTGAACATCATACAAGGTGTCCAACAGCCTAACTGTTTGTGTTTGTTTGTTTGTTTTTGTTTTTTCATGGTGCCACTTCGGCTCTGCGGCGGCTCTGCGTGTGTTTCCAGGCTCTCTTCATTCAAAGGTCCATCTTCCGACTGGATACCATTCCGGTCTGGTTCTCGCAGTGGCCGAGTGCTCCCGATAAAGTTTTCAGCAAGCGAGGGGAGTTTCATAGAGAGTTGGGTGCTTTGGTAGGTTGTAGGTAGAGGTATACTTATATAGTAAGTATGTATCTATATATATATATAGATGCTGTCGACATTGGACATTCATAGGGGTTCCGGGAGAGTGAACTCAAAATTGTTACACTTTCTGGATATACGCCATACGAGTCAAGCTACATATAGATCTATGCACCAGTCTATCAGCAACTTGGAGAAGCAGAGAGGAGATATTTTGTGTGGAACACGTATGAACACATGCAGAATAGATGGCCTTTAACATCCTTTAACTATATCTTTAACTACTATTATTGGTCGATTGATTAATAGACCCTGTCGTGAACAACAAATCTTAGGTACATGAAAGGTCGAGGTCGGACGTCTATTGTCGAGGGATTGGTGTTGACAAATGCATGTCTCCTTGATGTCACTGGTGGCCCGGCGATTTCTCACATCTCACGCGCTGAGTGTTATTTGTTTTGAGGACTCAGCATGGTGACTTGTAGAGCAGGCTCTGGAAGCAATCTTGATTTTTCTCTCTGGGAAGTCTTTGTGTCGATCAGTTGGCCGACACTCGACTTTTCTTGAGGATGATACCTTTCAATACCATCTCCTCGCTTGCCCTTCTCCGATCATGCGCATTTCCCAGGGTCCCAGAGGAACTTTACCATCTTTCAGACTGGTCCAACTTCCACTCGCTTGGAGTGGAGGTGAACCTCAGTCTCGGCCCGACTCGGCCCTGTGAGAATCCAAGAATCTTCCCAGGAAGTCAGTCGTCGTCATCCAGGAGGTTTGAGGCCGGCCACTTGGGTTTTGCGGATCGAGTGAATTCTCATGCACGAATGCACGATGAATCCCCGAACGGAGCAGGGGGGAGGTGTTCAGCGGAGCGGTCGAACGCGAACCGAACGGGGATCCTGGCCTTACTACTATAGGAACAATTCAGCTACCAACAGAGCAAAGGGCATCGCTACTAGCAACAAGGACGTTACTAGTAGCTCCTGGCCTTACTACTAGAAACAAGAAGCTACGAACGGGGCTCCTGGCATCGCTACGAACGGAGCGATCGGACGCTACGAACGGAACAGTCTGTGTTGTTTTGCCCAGCTCCAGGGAGCCGCAACCGAGCCGACCGTGCCCAAATCTCGCCGCGCGACGGGTTCTTGCACGGCTTCGCCGGCGGCGCTTGGCGGCCCAGCTTGGTGCGATTGATTTGTCAGAAAAGGTGTGCTGCTGGAGTTGGCTGCGTGCAGGTTGTGAATGGTTGTGACCTGTTCTTTGTCTGGAACAAACAGGAACAAACAGTTGACCGCGCTTAGAAGGTGGCACGACGTGCTTGGTTGCCGGTTGCCGAATGATTGGCCATACCTTCTAAAAGTACCCCCGATCGTGAATGCAGGAGCATTGGTGCTCAGATGTGATAGAAGCGGTATGTCTTTGGATTGAAAAATGTTGATACGAAACCATAAGAAAACGCTTGAAAACGAAACTTTGCCCTAGAATAGTCCAGCGAATTTCCTCTATAATGGTACCCTAGGGGTCTTTTTGGTGCATTTTATAGAGGGTATTCTAGAGGAAAAAATCAATGGTTCTCTATAAATTGACCCACCCCGGGGTGGGTCAATTTATAGAAACCCCTGTTTTAGGGCAATATGAACCCTGGGTGTATGGATTCTAAAGAGGCAAGGATTTTGATGATGGCTCTTATACTCGAAGTATGTAACCCTGGGTAGCGTGATTGTATAGAGACCATTTTATAGAGAATCATTTTACAGAAGTCTTCATTTTACAGAGAAGCCTGGATGGATGTGAGCAGCGTCAAAAACCTCCCACAAACAGTTTAAGCACACTTGTAAACTCCAACTTGCCAGCAGAAGCCAAACTGCAGTCGTGGAAGCTTGCGGAAGCCACCGCGTAAGTGTATGGTAAAATTCACCATCGCTGAAGCTTTGCGGAAGTGCGCATGTTATCTTCTTGAACCTTGTTGGCAATAACAAATGCCTCTTTACTTTTTAAGGAGGTTTGTCCAACCTAGGAGCACTTTAGCGCCGGGGAAGAGGACTTCAACCAAACATGGCCTGCGGAAGTCAACAAATATGTTTTTGGGGAAGGAGGTGAATGATCTGGTGTGCCATGGTGTGTGATTCTATAGAGTGGCTTTTTGCTTTGAGGCATGTGCTTTTTGATGATTGTACTTGTTTGTGGAGTTCCAGGGCAGCGCACACAATATCAGAAGTAGATGTACTGAGCCTATATAAACGAAAGGCCCTGATTCTATAAAATATAATTTGGAGGTTTCCAGGGGGTTGACTGGGAGGCCTTCAAGAACCCAACACCTGACTCATATGGTGTGTTGCTGTTAGGAAGGAGAGCCATTGTGTGGCTCTGGATGTGTTTGGGGTTTGTGGATGCGTGGTGGGGAGGTTCATGTGGGAACCCTGGGGTGTCACTAAAGAATGAGGCCACCTACTCCATGTTAGCAACTATATCGACCTGATATTTCCATTAGGGTGCGTGAATCTATAGAGCACCATTTTGGCAGGTGATTCTATAGTAGTCCAGATTTTAAGCATGGGATGTGTGATTCTATATTCTGCAGCCCTTCTTCTCTACCTTGGGTGCCCAGATTTTATAGTGCTAGAACCCTGGGGGCACCGTTTTATATCTATAAAATGACCACCCTTGGGGGTCAGGTGGAATTCACAGGAGGATCCCTAGACAAATCTTCGCAGAAGTTTTCCCCGTGGAAGACTTCGTTTTGAAAATAATCCAAATACGACACCAGTTGCTAGACGTATATGGATACACAACAAAGAGTGGGCCCGTCCCCCAATCTACGAGCAAATTTTGGAAAGTTTAATTCAGCCATATTCAGCCAGCTTTTGTGAGTATTGCAGATCATACTTTTATGTTTTTGTTGTCCTGATGCGGCTTCTAAATTTGTTTTTGCACCCTTCAGAGCTTTTTGTATTTTTCAGAGTTTTGTTTCGTTTTGTTTTTTCCTGAAAGGATTTCTGAACCATTCAGAATATCATTGTTTTAATGATGTTTTTCTATACATGCTATTTGAAGCATTCAGAATTTCCGGGCGCTCCGAGGGTGTGAACATCAACCAAGTTCCGGAGACGAGACGATGTCCGGTCCGCCGGTATGGTTCGAACCGTCCGGCGGTCTTCAAGTTGTTTCGGGATGGAGTTCCTTAGGCTGACTGGTGCGACTCGTAGGGAATATGGGAATGGATCCTGAGGGGTCTACAGGGGTGGTTCATTCCCTCATTCCCTACTAAGCACGAGTCTGTAGGTGATTTATGGTTTTATGTCTTTTTAAAGCTTTTTTGGGGGGAGGCCTCAGATGGAAGGCCTTGACTCAGGTCTGTTGATTTCAAGATCTCTCCTTAGGCACCATCAGTGTCCTCATCCTTCCCAGACCCTTTCCAGCCAGGTGTCCCACATTCCCAGAGAAGGCCTTGACTGTCGATGTACAAGGTCCCACACCATTTACGTTAAGACTCCCCAGAGCTCCGGAGTTTCAAGTATTCCGGGAATATCCTGGAATAAGGATATAATACTGTATACATATCCGTTTTTTGTAATAACTACAAATCACTTTGTGATTATTAATACGTTGTTATATATGACCATGTTGTGTTAGAGTTCATCAATCATTCATCCAAACCTTCTACTGCCGAACAGCTTTTCACCTTGTGAACGATGCTCCATGGCCCTGGGGACCTATGGCCGTACGTAGACACAGCAACTGGATCACCAGTGCTGGGGTGAGTATCCTCCACGTCAGTGCCGTTGGAAGTATCCTCTACCAACCCAGTAGTTGCCTCTAGCTGTAGACCTGAAAGTGCCTTTGACCTGGCTACAGTTCCTTTCGGAGACCATTGGCTGTTCAAAATCCAAGTCTTCCCCCTCACATGTCAGACGCCATGCCCTTGAGATCAGCCAAAAAAACATATCAAACAAACACCTTTCCTAGGGATCCGTTTTCGTACCGAACCTCAGGTTCGGTCACCTGGACCCGACGTGGCACCGGATGCGCATCCGCGGTGTGCGTCCTCACCTGCTGAGGTTCGCCCGTCTCGTCCGTCCTCCATCCGCTGAGGCGGTGGACTGGGCGCGGCAGCAGTGGGCAGAGTTGCTCTTGCGGCAGCTGCGAGAGCTTTCGAAGGACTGGTCTCAGATATTGGAGGGCCGGCTTTGAAAAGCAATGCTTCATTGGATTGACCTGGTTTTGCTCAAGGAAATTGGTTAGATTTGCCCTATGAGTAAATCCTCTTCTGGGGGAATAGGTCTATTTGTCCAGGTTGGACAGCAAATCCAAGGTGAATGGCTTGCTTTTCAAGGCCCTGCAACACGGCAGATCGGGTGTGGGTGTGATGTTATTAAGTGAATCCCTGAACCTGGAGAGTCGTTGATTCTGATGTTTTCTCGGCTTTCTGGGAGCAAGTAGAAAACAGGAGGACGAGAAGGAGCATTGCTATCTGTGCTATTTGGGATGGGGTCAAAACCTGGAGCCCTGGTTCACCATTCACCATGTAGCGGACTTCAAATATCGACCTCCCGATCGCCATGGTCTGGTACCGATGACATTCATTCAGGTGCCATTTTCCTCCGTCCCTGCAGTATCTCGTTCACGTATGAACACTGCTTCTTGTACCACCGCAATATTCCTAAGGCCTATTGGAGGGGAATGCACATAGATGCAGTATGATGCAGTTGTGATCCCTGAAGTTAGGAATTTGTGTGGTGACAAAACCTGGCCACTATTGCGTTCCATCTCTCTGTCTTTCATGTTTGGCGGACATTTCTATTTCACTTAGTCACCTCATGATGTAGCAGATTATTGTTCTCGCGGTGATGTACCCCACTCCCTGGCATCCAGCGAAGCTGAATACAACCTGACCATCGTGTGAAACGTCGATCTCTTCAGGAGCAGAAACAACCCTTCCTTCGTCGACGGCCCAAGCCGCTCTCGCTGTTTGGGCGGCTCAGAGGTGAGGGAGTGAGCGGTTGTGGGGTATCCAGCTTGAAACCGTCTTCCCGATAGGGATCCACATGCCTTCTCAGAAGGTGTTTAGACCCTCCAAGCCTGTTTATAAGTGTCTCCAATCACCTACTCAGAGGTTCTGGGCATATCTACAGTAGGCTGTATATGGTGGCTTAGCGTTGTTTTTGTTGGTCAGTTTCCACATTTGGTTTGGTCCTGTCGTCTGGGGGAGTTCTAGAGCAACATGTTGAAGATGTGTTGGATTGCTGGATCACATCAACTTACTCCAAATCGCACGGCCGATCAACGCGCAGATCAAACTTTCTGCGCTAATCTTCCAAGTGAATGCAAATCCAATTGACCAGCAAAAGGCTTTCAGAAGCTGTATCTTTTGCGCAATGAAATCCAAGTCTTTCGCAGCAAGAAGTGCCCATGAGAGGTCTCTTTACGTCGTTGAAAAAGGAGTGGGTGGAGGCAGCGGCAGGGAACTGACCGATGCTCTTCGCGCCCTGCGTGGACCGGAGGCGCTTCGAACGCCGACCGGGGTGAAGCCCTCCCTCCCGTGACGGTTTCCCGCGGAGCCACCGGACGCGGAGCCAAGGTCGAAGGATCCAAGTCAAGCAGAGGAGGCAGAGTTCACTGCGCAGTTAGGGGCGGACATGGGTCGGACATGGGGAGAAATCGCGGACTGGTGTTGGGGGAGAAAGAGAAGAACATGGATTGGTTTTTAATCCTGTTGCTTGTGACGATAGTCCGATGTTTAAACGTAACTAAGGGGGGGAACTCTTGATGATCTCGGTGTTTGAAGCTGGTGCTGTGGGAGAACAGAGAACGTTCCAAGCGAATTCGCAAGCTGGTGCGATTTCCATACCGTCAATGACTCTCCATAACATAATGACCCCCCAACATCAAGGGGCTTTGACTCGGTTTGACCATCCAAGTTTGGGGGGCTCGACGAATCAGCTGCGTCTGTGAACGACTGTCCACCATATGAAAACACCCCCGTTTGTGAGCGACGCTGGAACGTTGGATTCTCCGGCGCCGGTGCTCCGGATCGGCACAGCACCTGCGTCGTCTGTTCACAGCAGAATAGCTCCGTTTCTGCTTGTTTTGCCCAATCAGAAGCGCAACAAGTTCACATGTGGACAGTCCCTGTGGTATACCATGGTATACCCAACTCTATCACTATACAGGTTTTACAAAACCCAAATCTGCACAAGGTGAGCACGCGCCATATCGTGGACCTCAAGGCGCTCTTCAGCTTGCAGCTTGGACGGTAGATGCTAGGACGGGGTGTGGGTGAGAAAATCAGGCGTTTGGGTCCTCACACCGGCTGGGAATTGAATCCATTTCGATCAAGTTCCACTCTGTCAAACCTCTTGGGATTGAACATGATTGAACACACATAAGTTCAATACCTATCACTTAAAATCTATCGATTGATTGAACCAGTTGCTCAAGGTTTGTTTTCTTCAAGACTGGTGGAGATCAACTCCTCAGAGGCCTTCGGACACAACGACGTCCGCGTGAGACAACGAAGCTCCTGAGGATCTCGAGTGATCTCAAGTGGCTTGGCAGGGTCGGCAGGGATGGCAGGGGCAAGCGGTTTGGCTCGGACCTGTGAAGAAGACTTGGAGAGGGAAGAAGACGCAAACAAGCTGTGTCTTCAGCAGGTGTGTAGAATTGTAGAATTGTGTAGACCTGTGACATGTGTATAGGAAAATCCAGGTCTAGCTGGGCCGCCCAGTCCTGCAGTACTGCATGCCAGTCTGCAGGTATCAGCTGCCTTTCAGCAGAAGTATGTCAGAGGCTCTCAGGAAGTTTTCATCTACTCATCTTGAGGCATTGTATGTTGTTTTGAGCAATTTTCCCGTGGATTTTCCAGCACGAATGAAAGCAGGTTGAGGTTTGCGATAGAACTGGGGCACGTTCTTGGGGCACACTCTCGGACAGCCTGCTCGTTTGAGCTGGATGCTCAGTTATGTCCGGCATGTTTCTTGGCAAAGGGATTAAACACAAGGTGGTTGAGGTGGGTGCAGTCCCTACCTCCTGAGGATGCGGTTGGAGCGCCACAGGGAACCTATACGTCACGGCTCTATAGCCAAGCATAGCCAAGCCCTTCCTGGGTGTTTCTGGGTCTCTGCCACGCTCCGAGGACGCGTCAAGCGCAGGAGAGCTCCCGACATGCTCGACAAGGTACGCGCTGGAACCCCACCACCCCGTGATGGACCCCGGAGGGGCGGAAGACATGAGATGAGGCGACTCCCTGTATGCTTCGGGCGAAGACGACCGGAAGCGCGACGTCGAGAAGTCAATCCGGAAGACCCCCGGAAGCCGAGACGACCGGTCGAAACGGTCGACCATGGTGAGTCGACGGGGAAGCCCTTTTTGCCAAAGCCGATGGTCAAAGAGAGTCACACCAAGAGTCACTCTCAGAGTCACTGATTCGGTCATGAGTCAGGAATTTCTCAAAGGCACTCCAAAAGAGTCCCAGTCAAGCTTGAGGCATCTTCAGGCTAGAAAACCGTGTTGAACAAAACCTTTCCCTCCTTGGGCCGCCAGGGGTGTCTCACAATCCAACGCTTCTTCCGCCCCCGCCTTCGAAACATGGCAGTGGAGTCAAAGCCTTACCCTACGAACGGGTTAGGTCGGCATCCCGAACATCGAGGGATCTGGTCATTTTTGTTGGTCTTTCAACCCAAGGTCCCCCGGTGCCATGACCCGCCACCGACTCGGAACAGGCGCCGAACAAAGCGGAGGCGCATCGGAGATGCCGCTGCAACAGCGGGGTTTGAGGGCTTGTTGGAAAAAACAAGGTTGGAGGACACAGTCACAAACACGGAAAGTCTGACACGTTTTGTTTCACTCCATGTATCATACATGGAGGTTGATGAATTCTGCTTTTGACCTCCTGAACAGTCTACACCATATACCCATGACACTCCATGAGACTAGCACAATCCCTTCCACCCATTTAAAAACACGAGGCCCCCCCCCAATAAGGAAACCTCGGTCGCATTTTTTCTAATAGGGGGTCCCTGAAATCGGGGGGTCCAAAATAGGGTCAGTGGATGTGCAATTTTTAGTTGACCTTGAAGTGCAGAATTCGTGGCAGGTGCAGTACTTTGTGGACCTTGAAATGCATATTTCGTGGCAGGTACAGTACTCTGTTGACCTCCAAAAAAACCCTCCAAAATCGGCCATGTTGGTAGTTTAGTAGCGGCTTCAAAGGGCGGCAATTTAAAAACAAATGTAAACCGTATTTAAATAGGTACTCGGGATTATTTCATTGAAATGGTTGGTTTCAGGGGTCTTTCTGGGGCGGCAGTTTTCTTCCAGTCCCAGACAGGCCATGTGCCACACAACGACCTATGCCTATGCAATCCGTGTGTGCTTTTTAATCGGCCTGGACCATCCTAAGTAGGGACTGGACCCTGCAATTTCCCCTTGGAGTTTGAGGGATTGGGTGACAAAAAATATGTTCAACAGCTGCCCTACATTTGCTCAACCGAACCAGCCAACACCGTTCATCCGACCTACGATGAGGAAAACTGGGGTGCTCGGTGCATGTGGTCGACCTTTTTTCCAGTCGGACCAAATCTTATGTTGAGCTGCTGGTGTTTGGGGTATGATAATGTTTTGATCTGTGCGTTTAACCCAACCTCGCCAGGTGAAATATCACAATAACTTAAAACGAACCAGATTGAGGACCCTAATCATAGTTTCACTCAATTATCAATTCTTTCCCGAGTCTATTGTGCTTATTTCTTCCTGCTGGTGACATTGATATGGAGGTCTCACAAAGAGGGGGGGCAATCACTCAGCTTTCATTTGATTTGTCCCACTAGCATTGGTCCAGTCTTATCATGCATGGCCATTCTGAAGCACCTGTTCCCATCCTGACTTGCGCGCTGGTAGAACTAGATAATGACCTGACAGTTCCCAAACGACACGAGCATTCTTCTGAGATCTGTAGGATGTAAGTGGCCTGTTGCGAGAAAAGGGGTGTGCATGCTATACATGCCGACTTCCCCTCAAATTGGTCAGCCATGGTCAGCCACACGTCCCAGTAAACCAGTAGAGCCGTCGGTACGGGATGATCACTATTCCAAACATCCTCATCCACTGGGCCTACCCAACCGCAGGGATCCAACCGGGCTCCACCCACCTGCTGAGAAGATGGGACAGGGGTGGGTGCCTGCGGGGTCGAATACCACCGAACCTCAGGAGATGGGCCAGGAGCCGGATCCAGTTGTACCGTACCTCAGGTACGGTGATGTGTTTCCTCCACTGAGACATGTAGGTGACTGCCAGCCGGGTCCAGTCTGAAACTCACTCCAGTCACTTCCCTTCCAAGCTGTGAAGGAAGGGTCTTTGAGCGACTGTCGGAGGCAACCCCAAATAGACCGCTGAAGGGCATCGACCCTGGCCTTCAGATCCTTCAGTTCGACCATTGAAGGAGTTGGGTTTACCTGGCGCCGTAGTCTAAAATCAGAAAAATAACTAATTGGTATACTTCGGGCCTGAAACCTTCTAAAAACCTCCCTCAACTCAATGGTCTGTTGGACTCTTGAGCCCTCACTACGGTCACTACCGGAAAAAACACAAAAAACTATACGCTCACCTTGTTGCACTATGCTCACCTCACGCAGCCGGCTGCGTCAGGACCCGCTACCGTCGATCCCGTCTCCCTGGAGCAGCTGCGGCTCCGCTTCGTCGAGCTGTCGCCGGCGGAGGCCCACTTGGGCGTCCGGGGGCCCACTTGGGCGTCAGCAGTTCCGGAGGGGCGCCGGTGGAGAAGCAGTTCCCGCACCGGATAAAAAAAGCTACCAATCTATGATAGCTATAATATATAATATATATATTATTTTCAAATACAACCGTACAGTTGTTTTTATTACAGTGTATTTATAACTAATAATATATATAGTGTATAGATAGAGTAATTAATTAATATGAATTATATAAGTAATACTAGCTAATACGAAGTAATGGCAACAAAAAAGGCAAATATAGTCAATATCACGTTCGATTGATATATTCATCCTTGATTATCGATTATCTTAATAATAATCTTGGAGTTGAATTCAGTGCAATTGGTGGATTCGGGGGTATGCATCCACGGGAGAAATCCCATGTTTTGAAGATGTTTGCTGTAGAAATTGGCCTCCTAACCACGGATCCCAACATCAACAGTAACGATGGCCTGGAGCACAGGACACGTCACTGACAACACATTTTAGGCGGATCCCCACATCCAATGAAGAGAGGGTGTGGTCGTTATGAGACATCATGCATCATGCATTGCAATACACCCTTTAAAGACATGAAATGCAGACCTTATTACACACGCACATGAACACGTTTATGTTTTGGATTTTTATACTTGTTTTGGATTTTTATACTTTGACCCATCACTTGCCTGGTCACTTTGAAGAGACCTTTTGATTCCCTGGTTTGAGGTCACTTAGGCTTGTAGAAGGTCACTTAGGGACTCCAAAAAGGTCACTGGGAAGGTCCTGGTGCGTGACCGTTTTTTTTTGTTGGCTTTCTGAGTCGACTGTTGGTCGTTTGGTGGTTTTGTTGGTTCTTGAAGTTTCGGGCTTTGGGTGACGATGTTCCAATCTCCTTCCCCACTCTCTAGTTCTTCGGAGGGTCATTCAGGCTCCTGCCATCTGCCGATTTGGTTTGATATGCACATCCAAGGTGCCAGAGACACTTGATGCACGGGTTCTCAGTTCAACAGTGTCGTCGGGGCAGCGTCGCAGCGGGAATGCGCCGCTGCGGGAATGCGCAGCTGAAACAGACTCAATCCACGCAGGCGAAGAACTCCAGATCGACGCATTGGTGGGCAAGGCGGTTTGCAAAGGAAAACAATTTGGTATGTTGACCATAGGCATTCTCAAGTTGAGAGAACAAGAACACGATGAGCGTGATCATATCGCTGGTTTGTTAATCTTGATCTACTTGAAGATCTTGAACGCAGTAAAAAGCTGTTTGATCCTTGTTCATCTCTTTTCCAGTAGCATCCAGAGCTTCCTGCCCACCATGGCAGGGCCTTGTAGGAATCAGAGGTTCCTCACAACCCACTCTGTTCATGGCTCAGTTTGCTCCGTAAAAAGATACATTTCTTCGTTGTCAGTGGCTGTCCGAACACCAGCAGTGACCTTTCGATGTGATGCAACAGCCACCGGAACCGGACAACCACCACAGATGTTTCTCGTGCTGTATTTGAGTCCAACTGCAGAACCCTAGGGATCCAAGTATAAGCATAGTGTTT